TTTCTCAGGCTCCCTCTCCGGTATCGAACCCTGATTCTCCGTCACCCGTTACCACCTTGGTTGGCATTTAACCAACCAACAAGTTGATAAGGCAGACATTTGAAAGATGCGTCGCCGGCACAGAGGCCATGCGATCCGAACCAAGTTACTCTGAATCACCAAAGGGACGTCACCCGAAGGTAACAATTGGTTTTGGGCTAATAAAAACACACCTTCCTAAAAGGTCGGTGTTGGAATGCATGTATTAGCTCTAGAATTACCAGGGTTATCCAAGTGTAACCGAAGATCTAAGGAACCATAACTGATATAATGAGCCATTCGCGGTCTCACCTTAAAGCGGCATGGACTTAGACCTGCATGGCTTAATCTTTGAGACAAGCATATGACTACTGGCAGGATCAACCAGATAGCACTTTCATTTCATACATTCGCCTCACTTAGAGAACCCTTCTCTCGTGAGGAGACGTTTAGTCATCCCATTGACACAAACGTCGAAGACTCCATTCACCACTTGAGCTCTCACTTCAGCCTCAAGTCGATAGACTTCTCGTCTTTCTTTTCAGGCGTGGCACACAGCACAACTGAACCACCGTTTCAACACTCATGTTTGGGGCATTCGAACGCATGAGCGTTAGGAGAGTGAGAGACTCACAGTCCCGAACGAACACACGGCACCCAAGGGCCAAGACGACATGCTGCAGTCAATCGCAACGAACAACCTCGAGACTCCCAGTCTCCACGATACACTCATTGACTTTCGGGCATTTGAACGCATGAGCTTTAGGAGAGTGAGAGACCCACAGTCCCAAAAGAACACACGGCCCCCAATGGACAAGACGACATGCTTCTGTCAATCGCTACGAACCACCAGTACGTTCGAAGCAACCAACATCAGCCCCTACATACTATCCTAAGCGAACACAGCTGTGGGGCGACTGTGTTCGCAGGCTTAAATATTTTCAACTTGCCCTGAGAAGGACGGTTTATGCTTGGTTCAATATTTTTCAATTTCAATCTGCCCTGAAAAGGACGGTTTGCTGTGCTCTAGACGAGACGAATCGCAAAGAGAAGCACTGGTTCTTCTCCCTACAAGCCAGAGCCGTAAGACCCATTTTTGCTCTCGGCTAGAGCACCCCCACACTATATACTTTTTGTATCGCGGTGTGGAAGTGCACAAAAACCAGCAGGAACTCGGAAAAAGGTCTAAGAGACCCTCTTTTTGAAGCTTTTTTTCCCTGAAAATGACCCTCCATTAAACCAAGCGTTCCAGGAGGAAGATTAATAACCAAAATCATGTTTTCACTTGGTGAAAGCATAAAACCTATGTACACTTCGTACATAGGTGTATATAATGTACAGATATTACATCGCTTATGTGCAGACAAAAGCATAAACATAGGGCAACATGAGCAACTAGAACATAAGAAACATAACGAATAATCATGCTTTCACTTCGTACATTATGTGGTCTAAGCGGACCTCCGCGGAAAGCCTTGCTCCCTTGAAATGACGCTTCATTAGACCAAAAGTTCCAGGAGAAATAAAAATAACCAAAATCATGCTTTCACTTTGTATACATAGGTGTATACAATGTACAGACGTTACATCGCGTATGTGCAGACAAAAACACATAAACATAGAGCAACATGAGGAAGTACACATAAGAAACATAGCGAACATATGCAAATATACCATTATTCCACGTATACTTGAATGAAATCAGAAAAAACATAAGACACACACTACAACAAAAAGTCTATATTCCACAGCGAAACTATGTACCTACTGTATAAAATCACGGTACATACAGTAATTCCGTAGCATATAACATATGTACTCACATAACATATGCACTTACTATATAACATGCGCAAAACTAAAGAAAATCTAACGAGCGAACAGTTCTATTCGATAAAGTATGCTATGACACGACCCCATACAAACAACGGAAAGCACGCCTAAAATAATTACAATCGAATACACCTCCGCCCAAAATTTCTCTCTTATCCGAACTTTTAATAGAGAGGCTCCTTCTGGGTGCTGTCTAAAAAACTAATTAGGTAAGTGCTGTCTATATAGCTAATTAGGTTGGTAATGTTGTCCACTTGACTGTCTATATTATGAGAGAGCACAAGAAGGTAGCTTCTAATCCCAACCTCTAACCAGTGTAGGGGTGAATTAACATTTGGTTATAGGCAATATACAGACCCAAGAACTTGTCTGCCTAAGATGCAGCCAACTTTGTCATGGAAACACGTTTTTCATTTTTTTAGTTATGTTTGCACTATATATTTCAAAAAATCGGCCAATTTTTTTGCCATCGAATGATGTAAACCGTATTTCAATATATACTTTACTTCTTCTGCTATTAACGATAAACTGACTGCTCTCGTCGGCGGCAAACACAAGCGGCAGGGTCTACCGAAGGCTGCATTCGGTTGCCTAAGATGCAGGCGCTTTTGTCATGGAAACAGGGTTTTCATTTTTCTAGAAGTATTACTTTATTTCATGTTTGCATTATATATCTCAAAAAATCGGCCAATTTTTTTGCCATCGAATGATGTAAACCGTATTTCAATATATACTTTACTTCGTTTGCTATTAACGATAAACTGACTGCTCTCGTCGGCGGAAAGCACAGATCCTAGCCTATAAATAGGGCGAACCACTTCGTTCTAGTGATTCATTTCATTGCAGCTGCAGAGAAGAGATATCTGAACTTTCATTATGTCTGGTCGTGGCAAAGGAGGAAAGGGACTTGGGAAGGGAGGAGCCAAACGACATCGCAAGGTTTTACGTGACAATATCCAAGGGATCACGAAACCTGCCATCCGTCGCCTGGCTCGTCGTGGTGGAGTCAAGCGAATCTCTGGCCTCATCTATGAAGAGACACGTGGTGTCCTGAAGGTTTTCCTGGAAAATGTCATCCGAGATGCCGTGACTTACACTGAGCATGCCAAAAGGAAGACTGTTACAGCCATGGATGTTGTGTACGCCCTGAAACGACAAGGACGTACCTTGTATGGCTTTGGAGGTTAAGCTCGTACTCACCGTGAACAACTTTTCAAACGGCTCTTTTCAGAGCCAACAAAAGTCAAAAATTGAAAATATTGAACCGCTCAGTACTCTTCCCTACCCTATCATTAATTAACAACCTGAAATATAAAAAAGATTACAGCACCTGGGGTTCCTAGGAGGTCTCCCATCCAAGTACTAGCCAGGCGCGACCGAGCTTAACTGCGGTGATCGAACGAGAACCGGTGTTTTCTCGGTGCTATGGCCGTAACCAACAACTGTGTGCTTCCTTAACCCTACTTAAGCCACGTTCTCATCCATTCGCATCTTTTTATTATTATTCGACCTCCGTATGTACCGTAATATATCCGTAATATATAGAATACAATACATATACACCAGCCATAATGACGTACTTCGTATAGATCTCTCCAGAATCAAACAAGAAAGCATTTCCCTGTGCTGAAGCGACAAAACACATCTCAATCGCATCCCTTCTCACCAAAGTAGTCTGAATTCATATAGTCAAAACGACCTCAGAATTTGTATACAGCAGTGACTACTGAAGTCGAAGTCGATATGGCAAGAACAAAGCAAACGGCCCGAAAAAGCACCGGTGGGAAAGCTCCTCGAAAGCAGCTCGCTACCAAAGCTGCCAGGAAATCTGCTCCTGCTACTGGCGGAGTGAAGAAACCTCACCGTTACAGGCCTGGTACTGTCGCTCTTCGTGAAATCCGTCGCTACCAGAAAAGCACTGAGCTCCTCATCCGCAAACTCCCATTCCAACGATTGGTGCGTGAAATTGCTCAAGATTTCAAAACCGATCTACGTTTCCAGGGCTCCGCCGTTATGGCTCTCCAAGAAGCCAGTGAAGCTTACTTAGTTGGACTCTTTGAAGACACGAATTTGTGTGCTATTCATGCAAAACGTGTCACCATCATGCCCAAAGATATTCAACTTGCGCGACGAATCCGTGGAGAACGAGCTTAATTCTTGTTCCCATACCTCCAAACGGCTCTTTTCAGGGCCAATAAATAAAACAATTGAAATAATTCAACTTCGCTACGCCCTATTCCTCTTTTCCTCGTACCAGACACAAACCTATAACCACAGCGACTTCTAATGGCAGGAGTGCCGGTCGCCCTGTTAAAACTCGTTCTTTAGATCTCTTTCACCGGTGCATTTCCTTTCGCCCAGGACTGACTGGTTGGCTAAAAGATATACTCAAAAAAACGCATTTTCTCGTTGGTGTTACATCCGATTTTAAGATTTTCAATAAGGTAAGGATCTCCTACTTGGAGGCTTGGCTGTTCATGGCCCGTTTGTATTTCTTTCAACGATTACGAGGTAAGTAGTTCGACCCCATCCAACGTCTTCATTTTTTTTTTTTTTGCGAACTCAACGTTACTGGTTCGATCCCACACCAGGTCCGTATTTTTATTTTTCATACAATACTCTGCTTGCTACGTTAACTTGATTCAAATTTTTCAATTTCCAATTCTTTTGGGCCCTGATAAGGGCCGTTTCGAACGAAAACAGAGAATACAACTTTTAAGCCTTCTTCTCAGTCTTCTTGGGCAGAAGCACAGCCTGGATATTAGGCAGAACTCCACCCTGAGCAATCGTCACTCCGGACAGAAGCTTGTTCAATTCCTCGTCGTTCCTGATGGCAAGTTGCAGATGACGCGGAATGATCCTCGTCTTCTTGTTGTCTCGAGCTGCGTTACCAGCCAACTCAAGCACTTCCGCAGCCAAATATTCCATTACCGCAGCCAGGTACACAGGAGCTCCGGCACCAACCCGTTCAGCGTAGTTCCCCTTACGCAGGAGACGGTGGATTCGTCCAACAGGGAATTGAAGTCCAGCTCTGCTAGAGCGGCTCTTTGCCTTCCCCTTCACTTTTCCTCCCTTTCCACGACCAGACATGATGCAGGTAGATGAGTCGTATGTCAATTCTGGGACACAATATTGACGAAGATGAGTGTGCTCAGCTGGGCGAGTTTTACATTATTATACAAAATCTAACAATCAAGTTTGAGATAGCCAATGTTCACCGCAGGCAAAGAAGAAACGGATTGAAAACTTTTCTATATAGGTGGTGCTCTTTTAATACGCAAGCATAGTATTGTTTACTAAGCGAGTACAATGGCACCCAAAACCTCTGGAAAGGCTGCGAAAAAGGCCGGAAAGGCCCAAAAGAACATCTCCAAGGGAGACAAGAAGAAGAAGAAGCGCAGGAAGGAGAGCTACGGAATCTACATCTACAAGGTGTTGAAGCAAGTTCATCCCGACACTGGAATCTCCGGAAAAGCCATGTCGATCATGAATAGCTTCGTGAACGACATCTTCGAAAGAATCGCTGCTGAAGCTTCTCGGTTGGCTCATTACAACAAGCGATCTACCATCACTTCGCGGGAGATTCAGACTGCTGTTCGTCTACTCCTGCCTGGAGAATTGGCGAAGCACGCTGTGTCTGAAGGGACGAAAGCGGTAACCAAGTACACTTCCTCTAAGTAA